AATATTAGGGTTTATTTCTGGACTTTCAATTGACCTATGTCTATCTTTATGCCAGTACTACATTGTATTGATTACCTTAGCAGTCAGTTTTGAAATCAGAAAGTCTAAGTCCTCCAAACTTATTCCTTTCCAGGATTGTTTTGGGTATTCTGGGTCCTTTGCATTTCCATATGAATTTTAGGATCAGTTTGCCAATTTTTGTCAACAAAAAAGAAAGAAAAAGGAGCAGGGATTGTGTTGAATCTCTAGACCAGTGGTTGGCAAACTGTGGCTCACGAGCCATAGGCGGCTCTTTGGCCCCTTGAGTGTGGTTCTTCCACAAAATACCATGTGCGGGCATGCACGTACAGTGTGATTGAAACTTCGTGGACCATGTGCAGAAGTCAGTATTTTGTGGAAGAGCCACATTCAAGGGGCCAAAGAGCCACATATGTCTCATGAGCTGCAGTTTTCCAAGCTGCAGTTTGCCAACCACTGCCCTAGACTATACACAACTAAAGGAAATGGCTTAGTAGTTGAGCATCTACCTATGAACCATGGAGCCACGGTTTATTTTTATTTATTTATTTATTTTTTGGAGCCACAGTTTAATTCCTGGTCAGGGCACATACCCAAGTGGGGGGCATGCAGGAGGTAGCCAATCAATGTTCTCTCTCATCACTGATGTTTCTATGTCTCTCTCCCTCTCCCTGCCTCTCTGAAGTCAATAAAAAATATATTTTTAAAAAGAAAATAATGCTTCTTTGAACATAGAAGTGCATATATTCCTTCAAAATGGTGTTTTGGTATTCTTAGGCTTTTAAAAACAAAAAAATAAAAATAAATAAAATGCAGTATACCCATACAATGAAATATTATCTTTCTATATATATAGAAAGCTAATATGCTAAGTGTCCCTTCCACCATCTGACAGGTTTCTATGATGAGCACTGACCACTAGGGGGCAGATACTCAACGCAGAAGCTGCCGAGCTGCAATGACTTGTCAGCGATGGTTCTTGGGTGACACACCCCAAAACCAGAGAGGAGGGAGCCCGATTCCTCACGTGGCCGTGCAATTCCACCTTTGGCCATGGATCATGTTGTTGCTGGGGCACTGTTGGCCCTGGATCCAGTTTATTGCACACTTGCGTTTGAGTTCCATACCCTGTATGACAGCAACTTTGAAGAGTCCTCTCCAGGACTCTTTGGGAGATGTTGGAGAGCCAGTTTCAGCCCTATCCCTGCAGGCCAGACTGAGGAAGCCCACCTGCCTGAGGGACCCAGCTCACTCTGCAGATGCCAGGGAGGGGACCATGGGAGTTTGGCATGCCCTTGACCAGAATCGAACCTGGGACCCTTTCGCTGACACTTTATCCGCTGAGCCAAACCAGTTAGGGCTAGACTTGAAGCTTTAAGATAAAATAATGTTCTGTGCCTTCTTTATCAGGCTTTGGCCTGATGAGTGACATCTCCACAATTATCACTTTTTTTTTTCCCCTGCAAACTTCCAAGTACAGTGTGCTCCATAGTCCTTGTATTCACGTGTAGCCATAGTTCCCCTAAATTGTTCTATTTCAGTAGGCATTGTGGCCCAATGTCTTGCCTTCTACAAATACTTAATTCCAGACACCTGTAAACAATAATGGAAATTGATTCATCATTGTCACCAGTGTCACGTTTTACACAGGCAAATTGGTATTTCTAATTTCGAATCTAATCTGATCAATGCATCTATTCATGATTTTCATGTTCTATTTTCTCCCTTCCAGAAAAAAGTTCCCAAGTGACATATTATGTCAGCCCAAAGGTATTCAATTCTTAAAATTATTTTTTTGTACAGCTAATTAGAGTTTTAAACAATCTTTGGATGCGTTGGGGGTTGTCGGGGAAGTTGTTACCAATAATATAAATCTGCAACATCCAAACAATAATCCCCAAAGGTTTCCTGGAAAAGCAAAGGTACATATTCCCTGGTAAGCCTCTGCTTACTTACACATTGTGGGTCAGATTATGCTCATTTAAAATTGTGTTAAGTGTTACCAATTTTCACTTTACAAATGATTTTCAATTGTCTGTTATCCCAATAACTATGTGCATTTTCATTTTTCTATAGCTCCACCAAAACAGATATTAACTTTTTAAATATGTGCCAAAATTATAGAAGTAAAATAGTATTTCGGGGTTAAAACCCACTTTCCAGAAATTTGAATAAATTGCTGTTATCTAAGCAAAAAAAGAAAAAAAAATTATGGTGCTAGTTGCATGTTTCTATTTAGACACTTTTAGAATCCTTCATATCAGCCTTTGCTGTGGGAAACTTCCTCTTGGGTTTAGGCTCTAATCTCAGACATCATCTGAGGAAGTAGATAGGAAATGGAGAGAGACATATGCATTTTCGTTTGTGATGATTGATTCGGTGCCAACTCCATGAGTTGAACCTCATCCACCATCACCGTTGCCAGTTACATACATAAAATATCATGCAGGCAATGGATTTGAAAGGACCTGCCAAGCACAGTGTTGAAAACCTTAGAGATATTGATTTTACAGTTTCTCCAGTGATTCTACATCATGCTCCTTTACTTTCTGGCAATCTTTATAACTTTTACACTGACATAAATTGCCATAAAATAAGCATCCAGTACCCCCCTCCCCTTCCTCCTCTATATACGGTTAAGGACGCTCCATTATTCTATTAACACATTTAACCATTAATTCAGCTGATCTCCCTGGGAATGACGAGGTGACTTCAAACTTAGAGGGCAATTTGTACTGCCCAGCAGATTTATGATTATCCTCTCTAGTGAAAAGCACATGAATTCATCTAAACATTTATTTTCCTTAGAGTGTGCTGCTGTTTTTCTTTTTATGTTTTTTAAAGTAGATTTAGTGGCAGAATATTAGCAGCTGCAGATATCAGTGTGGTTGTCTCTGCAGCGAGGCTGGCAGTTCAGTTCTCTGAAAGCGGCCACAGACATTGAACCTTTCCCCACAGTGCGGTGAGGGAAAGACATGGAAAATGTGGATAGCAGTACAGTGTTTCTTAATGAGTTGGCAATTAGCTAGCTTTTAAATAAACAAAAGGGCTCAAAGTCATCATAAAGACACCACACAGACAAGACCACTGAGACACCACACAGACAAGACCGCTGCTTAGCCTAAAATCCTGCTTTATTAGTTTTCTGTTCAGTATAGTAAAAATTACCACAAAATTCATGTCTTAAAACAACACACATTTATAATCTTACAGTTCTGTAGTTGAAAGTTTCCATGCAGGTCTCAGCTAAAATCAAAGTGCTAACATGGTTGTGATCCATTCTGGAAACTCTAAAGGGAAATCCAGTTCCTGGACTTTTCCAGCTTCTGGAGCCCTCTACATTCCTTGGCTTATGGCCGACTTCCTCCTCCATCTCTGAAGTCTTAATGGCAGATTGAACCCTTTTCTCATTGCATTTCTTTAATCCTCTTTTATGCTTCTTCTACTTTGAGGACTCATGAGATTTTTAACCCAGGATAATCTCTCCATTTTAAGGTCAGCTGATTAGCAACCTTAATTGAACCTACAATCTTAATTCTCTTTCACCATGTAAAGTAGGATATTCACCTTTTCTGAGGAGTAGGATGGGGATATCTTTTTTTTTTTTTTTTTTTTTTTTTTTTTGGGGGG